TTATCTATTTGGTATAAATTGATATTGTTGAGGCAATAATATATAATACAAAGTAGTTATAGAATCGACCGACCTTCCATGTTAGTTAAGTCTTTAGATATTCGTAAAATAACATAATTAAATTTGAAATTCAGATTCGTAGAGTTAACTACGATCTATTTTGGATCATTCAGATTGGCGATCTCTATTAACTATTTAATCGAGAATGTAATTTAATGTAATTTATTGTTTATTGAATATTTTATATTCACGTTCATGCATATATATATATATATATATGTAAGTGTTCTCTATTTTATAAATAGTTTACTTTTTGGGTTTTAATTTTTTACTTTTCCTTTGTTATGCATACGATATAATATAGGGATTTAAAAATTTTAATTATTCTTCTATATGTTTATATATATTATGTATGTAATTTGGTTATCAAACAAACGGGTGGGGGTAATGTTACATTTATTGTTTTGTTTATGATAAGAGAAAATGAATATTTGATGCTTTATATTTTACTACTAATCAGTGAGTAAGTTCTTCCGTTGATTTATTTACGTCTGTTCGGTTGATGTATTGTAAAAAATCTTCCGAAACAAAAAAAAAAAACCAAACGACAAACAATTAAAAACCTTAGCTTTGGGGTGAGTTTTGATTTTTCCATCACTCACACAATCTCAAAGTAGTTTCGGACTTTGCAGTGACCTGTATTTGCGTTAAACTTGTCGATCAGTCTCGCTAAGCATCTTCATCAGATTCCAAGTTAATGTTTGGCTTAAATTGGACTAAGTCCATTTCCACATTTGACTTAGCACCGTCAATTAAGAGTACAAGTACCAAGCGTTAGCATTTTATTTGACTTTTGGCGAAAAGAAACATTTTGTAAGAAATTTACGACCCGACAGGGAATGACCAAATGGACTAGAAATGTTTTGTGGATTAAAAATATGTAAACAATAGAACGTTTCTGGGTATAACAATGGAACAATGGAAATTTACCTTTCAATTAATAAATCGTTATATCATCTAACTACATCCTTGTAATGGTGACGTGGTTATGGGAACACATTAGCTACTCAAATAGCGAAATAGGTATCAAAATAATCTCGTCGAAAAGTTCAGACCACAAATCTATTTTATTAAAACATGTACACTTTACTTTGGAAAGAATATTCAGACGACCATACATCTTTTCACTTTGATGGCCGTAACGGTATCACTAACAGTTCCTCTATTCTAAGTACATTTCAAGATAATCAATCCCGAGAAATGTTTCAAATTGATATGAGTTATCAAAATTTCAAAATTTCAAAATTTACGGTATCTTTTAGGTATGTTTGACTCTTTCGCCAAAAGCAGACAGATTGAAGGGGCCAATAATGACCATTTCCAAGTATGCTGGGGTCTCTTGCTCCCCAGACGTATAACATGACGACTGCCAGAAAGAAGGAAGGAAAGAAAAAGAGTTAGGATCTGGGTGCAGTCTAGACCGAAGAACCAACAAATACTTAGTGGGGAGACGTCTACATCTACTAATTCTACTTACTAATGCTAATCTATAGTGTGTATGGTTTGTAGAGTTTATTGCTAACGTTTTGATAAAATGCGTTTACCACAACTTCTTGATGATGTGTTTAGGAAACGGTATCGTGGTTGCGCAGAAGTTTCGAAAAGGGCTACAGCAAGATTACTTCCTCAAAATTAATTGCATAAGCTTTCAGGAATGAATTATGTTTACTCGGTATAGTCCTTTTCCAAGCACGGTTTTGTTTTTTTGTAGATCTGACCAATCACTTAGGGGATATCCTCACGACGTGCATCATGGTGATGGTTAGAAAGAAGTGAAAAAGAAGAAGCAGGTAATGAGTGGCGCCAGTCAAGAGTATACGTGCCCAATCAGTAATTAAGCGCTACGTCTTTACTGATAGAATTTATTATTTTAATACTAGCAGGTATTGTCTACTGCATTGGGATTTTATTTGTTGTCACTGTTACTTACGACAATATGCGTCAAGTTTGAGTGTGTGTGGCTTCATTATGGTCGCGAAAATTCTAAAATGGATTAGATTTTCCGCCGATGTACACAAGTATACACATTCTTTGGTTTGTCCCTGAAGTTTCGTTCTGGGCATTAAATGCCACTGACGATCGTAAGACAGAATTCGTGTCAAAATGACCGCAATGCGCCACGAATGTATGCAGAACAAACTCGTATCACTGTTGTATGTTGTTTTTTGAATGACGGGATCATCTGCCATTAAAAAATATGTTCACAGATCTGTATGCATATCAGTAAAGATTAGATTTAGATTATGCTTGTTAGCTGCTCTCAGCTTTATAGGCTTCTTAATCGTTATAGTGGAAATATAGTTCCCACCTTATTACGAGGAGAGATTTTCTTCTTAAGTCAAAAAAAAAAAAAAAAAAAAAAAAAACAAATTTAAAAATTTAGTTTTCCTTCACACACACGCCTTTTATTTTAAAAGTGATTTAAGTCCATTTAGCTGAAAATCACGAATAATTTTGAGGCTTTTGTTACGCGACAGCAAAAAACAGACTTAGTCCATTTCGAGAATAAACGATTCAGATAAAGAATGGTATTTCAAATTTTTCTATAGATATAATTACGTCTACTAAGTATAACATAGATATTTGTGCACAAAAAGACATCGACAAAAATTGATTCTTTTTTTAAGAATATTAACTAAGTAGTTGAACGACTTAAATTGCATTTATATAGGGGTGCATGACAATAAAGTGCTTGGAAATTATAATAATAATAATTTCCAGAGAGAGATATTTTTTAACGGTTTTAATAGAATTTAAATATTATCTCCATAGTCTTAAGTCTTGCATAGCATGTTTCATCTAAATAAAATGTTTTGAAAGAAATTGAAAAAAGAAACCAAAAAAAAAAAAAAACAAAAAAAATAAAATAAAAACACTTGTCATTAAAATTTGATTATGTATGTAGTTGTAAAGCATTTTAAATGCTTCATATGCTTGTGTATATGTAAATTAATTGCACATAAAAAGTTGACATCGATTATAATTTCTCTCTTTAAAAATTGAATTTTTTTTTTCTCTCCTTTTTTTGCATTTAATATCTTGCTTTGTAGAGTGCAGATGGTTTAGTTAGTGAACGTTTCTTTTTGTTGTTGACCATCAAACGTTTCTTCCCGTAACCTGGTTAAGAGACGGAGCATTAATATTTTTCAAAATTTTTATTTAAAAAAGAGAAAAAAAAAAAATAACTTACGAGCTCGCATGTTATCGTTATAGTCACGATGACGATTCTCTTTTTCTTTTAAGGCTAAATTATATTTAGGTAAAGGTTCCATATTTACGGGTGCTCCATAATAATCTACAAGCGCTGGTGCGTCATTCCAATTATCATTATTATTATTATTATTGTTATTATAATCGAAATTATCATCGATTGCGGGATAATCGTAAAAACCTGCATTCGGAGTCATACCATAAGCTTTAGGTGCATAGTTTTCGTTTGGATAGCCATTGTAACTATTGGTGCTATCGTGATCGGTCTCTTTTCGGGCACGTTCACCTGCCTCAACCAAAGCCACCAAAGCCAACATATCCGCAGGTGTAAGTTTATTATCCCGTTTAGGTCTTCTTATAACAAATTTAATAAAGTAATGCTTTACGTTTAATTTAATTATTATGTCCTTACCTCATATCTGGATAATTTCTGGCCAATTCACTGAAAATTCTATAAGCTTTTTTGTTACGCTCCGCTTCCAAATCTGCGTAACGTTCATAGTTGTACGGTAATATCGCCGAATCTAAGTGATACTCAGCATTTAAAAGATTTTGCAAATCATCATAAGCTTGCTTCTTATAATTTGGAACTGCTGTTAATAGATAAATCATTAAAAATTAATCCAAACAGAATATAATTATTTTTAAATTAAATTTGGCTAATTGAAAATTTGGTCGAGAAGTTATACAAGTCCACCTGTCAGATATTTTACAATAAAACGAATCTCTTGAGGCCTCTCAACGAAAGCAATCATTTAAAGGACACGTCTAGTCCCAATAAACCTATAGAATTGCTACACGTTTAACGATCGCCTTCTTCTTTGTGACATAAGAAAGGAATTATAGTCGCTTGAGGGAGGATTGTTTTGATAACTACTCGACTTTGTTGCAATGGGACAATTGCACAAATCATTTCATTATCTCTTCGCCAATTTTTGACCCTTTAACGACAAACTTGATGATATATCGGCACTTGGGGTAATTAGGCGGACGCAGTATGTAATACAAGTTACACCCAACTGAGTGTGGACTCCGTGAAAATTCGTCTTTATTAGCGATGTTCTCAATGTTTCATTGGCTACGAAATAGCAGCGCTTTCCCTCGAATTAAGTAGGAAAAGTAATATTTCTCCCATATAGTGTTTATGGCACCGAAAGTGACCTGTTTCCAAGACCTCCATAATTATAATAACATAAAGCATTAAGTTTAACAACTAAGAGAATTATATTCGATGGTAAGCAAATCTTTTATACCTGTGGCCCTTATCTTATAAAGAAAAAAAGAGTTAAATTTTCATACTTTATAATAATGGACGGCTGCAGCAGAACTGTAAATGGAGAGAGAGAGACAAATAGAGAAATTTTGTACCATAAAAACAACGGCAGAAAAGTGATACAAGGGCAGATGATAGTGATCTTCACACTACATGCCCATTATAACTGAATTTTGAGCAATGGTTAAATTCGTTCTTTTCTTTTACTCGATGGCTATAGATCTCGGAGAATAAGATTATTCTGAGTTCATAGGCATTTTAACAAGTATCTTATAGTATAATAGTAACACTTTAAATCACCCGGGCCAAATATAAATCACTCAGGCTTATCCAAAGCTGTAGACTTTCTTTTCTCTTACATTGCTAGTATTCTAGTTAACATCTAGACCAAACTTCATGACAATATTTTCCATAGTTATTAATAGTAAGGATGAATTGTCTCATTTTAATATTTTGTTTTGATTTTACCTCTTCAATCGAAGCTAGTTGATGTCTAGATGGAACGATTTTTTGAATTTCGAGAATAGCCAAAAATCAAAAGAAATTAAATCAAGTGCATAGACTAGTTGAAGAATGATAAAAGTGGAATTTCCGGTGAGAAAATCTCGAGGAATCAATACAGTGTAAAGAGATGCAACAATGAAAGCGTGGTTGTTCATAGCGTTGGCGAATAGCTTCACAGACGTGATGCGATTACGTTCAAATAGTATTCCTTATTAATAATTGTAATTGGCAAAAGTAATGAACCACTCTATGACAATCGAACAAAATTTACTTTGCTTGCTTTTTGCTCACATAGAATAGATGAAGAGATTGAGTACGTTTGTGAGGGAAGAGAGGTTATGAATTTGTACAATTCCAATTCAAATTTTCTTTTAGATTCGCTTCGAAAGTGTAAATTAAATTTAAAACCTTTTTTTTTTGTAACTATGCTGGAAATGCTTTAAGATTCTAAATTGATGGAGCAAACCAACGTCAGAGATCAGCTGCGTAGATTAGGGGTTTCCAAATGAAAATCTATTAACAGATTTTCACATTGCTTTGTCAACTGATTACCTTCAAGCTCTGCATATATATGATTCGACATAGACATATCCAAGCTTTAAAGGTCACTTAGATGGGCAAAGGAAAGATTTGAGTTAGCAAAGAAAAACTTTAACTTTATTGCAATAGTGAAATACACAAGCAACTAATTGCAGCATCCGCCTATGTTTGCCACGTTTAATTGTTTTTAACTTCCTTTAATTTTTGAATTTTAGAATAATGCTACGCGTTTCTGCACCCTACACCATTTTTAGTACATATTAAGGCATATATTAGGCTTTTGCTGATGCATGCAACACCCAGAGAGAATACCGATCAATTCAGAATCGGAATCTTTCCAAAACAATTTAATCTTATCCGTCCGTCTGTCCATCCAGTTTTCTTTCGTTCAATCTAAAGGTCGTCATATTTGTGATATTTTGATGAAATTTTGAAATTTGTTTTGACGCATGGACGAACGCTATTGAAAATGTTTCAATCAGGCCACTTCCTATATACCACTTTATATTGAAAAATCGTTGCATCAGTAGCTAAAGTATTTAATGACGGGTGAGCTGTGTCCCTTATAGTGTTTTCACTTCTTCAATTTTAGAAGACAGGCTTGCCTAGTCATACATACATATTCTATAGGGAGTTCACAGATGGAACTGTAAATTTAAAATTTGTATTTAATGTTAAGATGGATTTAGTGAAGAAAGACATCATTTTTCAAAAGTGATATCTACGACATATGAAAACGTATATCATATATGTATGTACCATCTCCATTTCGCTATATTCTCAATTAGCCTTGTCTCTTTTTGCTTTACTTCTCTGCTTACCTCTCTGCGGTTCATATTCATCCATATCTGTGTAAACTATATTATCATTGTCTAGATCTTCACCCCAAACCCCTCGGTTGAGGCCATCGTCATTTACTGCCATATATCCCCCATAGGGATTGTAATAGGCCGCATTATCATACAACAATGGTTCATTGTTAGCACCATATAAGTACTGTTGATTATTGACGCCACGTTTATTAATCACAGCTGCATGATCATCGTCATTATCATCATATTCGTCATTAGCGTTTTCGTTTCTAATATTGTTACGGTGGCGTTGTTTCTTTAAATTTTCAAGCTCCGCTTTAACAGCAGCTGCTGCCAAGCGCGCCGCTATTATTGAACTGATCAACTCATTTTTACTGTTTGCTACATCGTCGTCATCGTTATAAGAGGAAACGCTATTACTATGCTGTTGCAAAGGAAACTTTTGTTGATGTTGAGGTTTCGATTCAGGGGTAGAGATTTCTGGAAGTTTGTTGTTGTTATTAAAAGAGGCTGGTACTATTTCCGGGCTACTCTTTTTATTTTTATTAACATCAGTAATAACGTTCTGGTGATGTGTTAGAGCTTCATTCTGTTTAGAAGTATCACTTGAACGCTTCACTATAAAGAAAATATTTTATATGACTAACTTTTAGAACGATTTTTAAAACAATTCAGGTTAGTGCTATAATTTTTACTGTTAATTCCCTATCTATTTTATCATTGGTGCACATAGTCTCAGTTGCAGGTGTTAAACGAACATTATTGGCTGCCTCTTAGTTTCTTATTGTCATGTATTGTTACATTATTTATTGTGAACACTATTCAGTGATTATTGATTAAGTGTAATTATAAGAAACGATGGTCCCGTTACTTTTCAAGTCTCCGAAAAGTGAAGCGGGCGAAAGTTAAATCGAAATCGGGGATGTAAGCAATGATAACATTGCTGAGGATATCATCAAATACTATTCAAACACTTCGAGCAAGACGTTTACAGAAGTAGGAGGAAGTTCTATACTGGGATGTCATACAATCTGTTCCCCAACTACTTGGGAATGTACGCTTACGTAACTGTACTTTAGTCTAGAATGCACATCCAGGCATACCCGCTTAAATTCCACCATTATAAAGAAGATCATCGGTTAAAAGCATAGCAAAGTGTGAAGGGAACAGTAAAATAAAACAAGCAATGCGTAATCTCCAAACTTGTTCTCTTTTTCTTTTTCGCGTCGGGTTTTTCGGTTTTGTAAATTATTATTCCATATCGTTTTTAATCGTAAAAAATTTTGTTCAAAAAAGCTTGCGTCACACTATATTTTAGAGTTAAAGTACTAAACGGAAATATATATAATTTTTTTTCGATGTTGAGTTAAGACGGACTAAGGGGATACAAGTCCAAATAACTATTATGTAATTATTACTAAAAAACTTGCTTACAAAATGCGCTCCACCACGCTGAGATTCCAATCTGCAACCATCGACTTTGCAATCGCGAGTCTTTTCGCCTCGGCTATGCGCTATCCGGAGAAGCTAAACATAACTGTTACTGTGACTTTGTCTGCCCAAATTCAATTAAAAATTATACAATGTTTTCGTAATGTTCGAATTAAGAACTCTAGCCAAGTATCTATCTATGTTTAAAATTTTCACATATTTTTAACAAAACTTGAAAGTGACAATTTAATAAGCGAATCGTTCTTGATCTTGAGAATGACAATGATAGTCATAGTAGTCATAATCATATTTATTGCCGACTTGTTTTCGACTTTTTCGTTCATATCTACATATATATATATATATCCAGAGATTCCAATGGCCTATGATTCTGAAATAAACTGTGCACTGATTAATTCTTTTTTCTTCATCGTCCTTGTTATTGTTATTAATATTTTTTTGCTTAGCATATTCTTTTTATATGGGATGTTCTCCCTTAAAAACTAAATTTTTTATGCCTGTACGTCAAACTGTGTATTATTTAATGTAAATTCCCATATTAAATATTTAAACTACTGCACCCGAAATTATAACTTTTTAAATGATACCAAAAATTTTCATTGATGCTGACGATGTTAATGAAGCGTCCACGTAATGTAAGCGGATTCCCATCGCAATCCATTGTTCGCCCCTTACAATACACCACTATGTTTATATATCTATACAAATCTATATACACATATGTACAATGTACATACATTAATATATGTAAAGTATATTCGTTCAGTTCAAATAAAACTTTACTATTCTGCTTCAAATATAAAGTTTCTCTTATGTTGTTATTCTCTCTGATATATTGTGTAAGAGTAGTAGAATGCGATAGGCTATGCTGTAGAATGTTATGATTGTGAAACCGAGGTAAAAAGAGAATTTAGAGCATATTTAGGATATGAGAGTGCTGCCAGAAGTCCTCGAAATGATTCAACAAGAAATATTTTGGGAAATGTTCTCTTATTCCTTTGCTGTTTCTGGGGCCAGATTCTCCCTTTTTAGCACAGATTCATTCATTATTTCTGAAGCGGTCACCTGATTTTTTGATCGCTGCGAAATTCGTTTTGGTAAATCGTATAGCGTTAATCATGTTGGTATTGTAAACGAAGTTGCAGATTTCTTTAAGGTGGAATTAAGGTCGGGTTTGTTGTTGGTTGGAGAAAGCCTTTTTAAATGGAAGTTTTGCATCGCCAATCCTTATCAGGCTTATAAATTCATAGAAAGAATTCACTTTTGATGAGTGGCAAACAAATAGCAAACAGATGTCTTTGGTGATTTAATGTGGGTACACTACCTTGTCGCTGCCCGATGACACAAGGGTTAATTTCGCGTAATCGGTACTCTCCAGAGGGTTAAACTACACTAGAGAATCCAGATTATTATGTATGACTTAACAAACCTACTCTGCTAAAAGTTGAGGCCTATCGTTACCTCTAATTATTCGCTTTTGCAATGAACACCACGATACCCCCGAAGGGCCGTACCCAGTAGTCAGGACTCATACATTGATTAACTGCTGCGTTCAAACTGGGAACTCGACATACAACTTTCCACTGCGGTTTCCATATGTATGTAAGTATGCAAGCTTTCCCCTAAAAGATCTTGGCAAGCATCAATCTGCAGTAAACTAATGCTGTCATCTCTACCCGTAAGTACTCGTGAAGTAGTGAGTGGGCAAATAGCAAGCAATGAAATGTTTACAAACTTTCAAGGTGACGCTTCATAATCCTGAATCTTTCTACCGGAGAATTTTTTTGCCAAACAACAACAGCCGCCTACGGTGTATTTGGATGAGGGGATTACCATCATAGATATCTCTTTAATGATAATAATTCTTCTTCCTTGTTATCGTTTCAAATTAACTATGAAGCAGTTGTGGGTTCAAATCTCAAGTCTTTTCAATAAAGCCGATAGCCTTAGATGCTCATACTTTAAGACGTTACGTAGCCGTAGAATTTATTATATTTCCCTAGGCGAATTAACAATAACAAAAATAAGTAAAAAAGATTAAAAAATCTTTACGTTCTTTACATTCTTTACTCAATGCATTTAAATGTTGTGTGAAATCCTTTTCATTGCTTTCCTATTAAAAAAGTATTTTCTTCATAAAAAGATCAAAAAGTTTATCATAGTCGAGTAAGTAAAAACTGTCAACAAGTAACAAATCAAGAGGAAGTTTTTAATTTTTATGCACTAAAGCAAAAAATGTTTTTAATAAATGTTACAATGTTTGTTACAGTTTTGCAAGTACGACCGATAGTCATAGTTAAAAGGAAATCGATTTCCATTTATTTAACAATATTGCGCTTAATTTTTATTTTATTTTGCTCCAATGGCATGTGTTATAACTGAAATTTGTCAGCCACAATATCACAAAGTATATAAAACTTTCTAAAAATTATTGAAAAAGTTGTCAAGAGTAAAAGGCTTTAATTTATCATTTGATTTTTATATAAGAAATGATTTCGCTTTTTGTTTTCTTTTTCCTTGACATCAGAGCTTTTAGATGTTATGGCATATTTAAGATGTTTATTTATATAAAGTAAAACAATATTAAAAGAAAGCAATATTTTCATTTATTTTGTTTTCTTTCTATACCCTACACCAATTTTTTGAATGCACCGAATACCCACAATGACTTATGACAGGTACATCTTTAACGCGAACTTGAGTTTATCTCTCTATCTGATGTCTAGACATGGACTTTTGTTTTCAATAGGCCACAAAGACTAACGTCTTTTCGATCCTAGATAAATGCTAAAATGAAAGTTAACTGGATGCGAGAATTTTTATGATCGCTGCCCACATATACTGCCTTCTTTTGGAAAAGGAAATCTTGGGAAAACCTTGAAATTTTCATGGAGTCTTAGCAAAAATCTCTGCGCAATATTATTTCGTTCTGCATAAGTCATGGGAAAGATTTGCTTCGAATTCGCCGACTTTATGAACCCCTTCCCATACAACCATTCCTAGGAAAAGTAAGGCTTTTTATGGCAAGTCGGACTAATTTACAATGTTTTTTGATGAAAAATTTCTCCCTAATAGTTAGTTGAAACTAAAACTCAAGTCTACCAAATTTGAATCATGTAGATCGATGTTTTCCTCCTCCATCCTATATACGAACTCTCATGGTTAGTGACAAAAGGTCAAATTTTTTAATATTTAGTGATGGGAGTTGGTGAACTACAGTAAGATATTTGGCAAGAATATGAAATTTTCTTAAATTTGGATCACATCAGCCCATGTATTAGTCATATGATGGCTCCCATGAAATATATGCCAACAAGATATAATTTCGAGTATTATTTGCCATTAAATAAATGAAAAATTGTATGGTACGGAGTGTTGTAGAGTATTTTATGATCGATTTTACCGAACTATAATGCTTTTACTTTTACTTGTTTTGTTTTTGTTTTTTATTTTATTACTACTTTTCCCAACTGTGGTATTGACGTAAAGCGAGTTGTTTGTTTTAACGTATCTAACCTTGTTGTTGTTATGGTTAAAAAAAAAACAAGAAATAAAGTCGCTTGTCGAGCGCGAGTAAAAATAGTATCACCCCCACAAGCACTTAATAAATGTTGTTCTGTAGTGAAAGCATTTATTCTTATAATCCAATCAGAAGCACATACACAGACTATTAATTGCTTGTATTATTCATTTCAGGGATTTGTATTTAATTGATTTTACAAGTAGAATTTTATATCCAACATCGAAGGATGCGGTTACTATGCTTTTAAATGATTCAAAAATACATTAAAGAGAGAGAAGAGACTAAATGTGCGGTCAAATTAACAGTTAATTTAGAGAGGATAAATGCCTGCTTATCTATTATCTATTCGCAAGAACGTAATAATCGATAAACCGATTACAGAGACTGTTTGAATATTCTTTAGCCTTTAGCGTATCACAAACAAAATTTCATCATGAGCTTAAAATGATTAAAAAAGAAATGACATATTGCTCTCAAGACATCGTGACCTTTAGGTGATTTCAGTTTAGAACATTAATCGCGACCTTCTAACAGGTCGATAAATTGATTTCAATTTCAATATAAATAAAAAGCAGTTTTAAAAAAGACATAAATTGCAAAACATTGCTTCCGATTAGGAAACGTTCACAACTACAACTGCACA